ATGCTTGTGTGGTGTATGCTAGCTGTAGGTTTGAATGATGAAATGAAAAACTAGCATGCATAGGTTAAGTAACTAGACTCATTCTCACATTATGAAAACTAGACCCTTACTTCTAATGTTGATCTCACGGGGTATTCTAGTTTTTTGTGTGGATGTCTAGTTATTCATGGTGCTAAGGATGGTATATTGGTGCACTCCGATTGGTATCACGCTTCAAAGGTCCATCTCTTATACCTTAGCATCATTTGGTAGACATTGACTCCTAAGTTTCCTATCTAACCATATGTGCAAGCTACAATCCAAACTCTTAATACATATGTAGGGGGAGCAATTGCTACCATTCAGAGTTCATGAAACTTGTCCATATCCCTTTACACATGGTAAATATGCTTGGGCAAGCAACATGGATTCAATTAAATTTCAATTCATATCTTTGTGTAAGGGTTGTCATCAATTACCAAAAAGGGGGAGATTGAAAGCTCTAGATTGGTTTTGGTGAATTGGTGAAACCCTAAGGCTAACCTAGTTTATCCAAGTGATCATTAGATAGGTAGCACTACTCCAAGTGATGAAGCAATGGTGAAGATCATGATGATGGTGATGCCATGGTGATGATCAAGTGCTTGGACTTGGAAAAGAAGAAAGAGAAAAACAAAAAGGCTCAAGGCAAATGTATAAGTGGTAGGAGCCATTTTGTTTTGGTGATCAAGACACTTAGCATGTGTGATCACACTTAGGATCGATAGCCGTACTATTAAGAGGGGTAAAACTCATATCGAAATATGGTTATCAAAGTGCCACTAGATGCTCTAACTCATTGCATATGCATTAGGATCTAGTGGAGTGCTAACACCCATGAAAACATTTGTGAAAATATGCTAACACATGTGCATAAGGTGATACACTTGGTGGTTGGCATATTTGAGCAAAGGTGAAGAAGATAGAGTTGAAAAGGAGTTAGTCGCGCTGGTCACGGGATGACCGGACACGTCCGAAATCAGGATCGGACGCGTCCGGTATTTGGACCCAAGGTGGGCGACTATGTGAAAGTGACCGGACTCTGGCTCTGTGCAGCGACCGGATGTTGACGGGTTACTGTTCAGCGTCAGGTCAAAGTGATATAACCCAAAGCAGGATCGCAGAGAGTGACCGGACGCGTCTGGTTGCCACACCGGACGCGTCCGATGTGAACTAGCTAGTCTCGGGTCTTCAGCGCTATAATTCATCGGACGCTGGGAGCATCCGGTCCGGTGTGACCGAACGCGTCCAGTCAGCTCAAAGCGGCTCTAGGAGCTCTCTGGACCCAACCTGACACTACGTCTTCCGCATCCGGTCGTTTTCTAACAGCGCGTCCGATCAAGTAATGTCAGTGTTCACAGAGAAAGCCGTTGGGCGCCAACGGTTAAATGATTTGAAAGAGACACGTGGCAGTTTAGTGGCGACCAGACGTAGGGACCAGATGCGTCTAGTCACCACACCAGACGCGTCCGGTGCACACGACCTGCGCGTCCGGTCACCCCGCAGATAGCCTAATAATTGAGGTAACGGCTCTATTATTTGGGGTGTCTATAAATATCATTTGGCCAGCTCTAGCTCACCCTCTTGACCATTTGCATTGACATAACAACCTTGTGAGCTAAGCCAAAGCCCTCCCACTCATCTCCATCATTGATTTATCATCTTTGTGGGATTGGGAGAAAATCCAAGTGCATTGCTTGAGTGTTTGCAAATAGAGGCACTTGGTATTTGTATCTCCCTGCATGTTTGGCTTGTTACTCTTGGTGGTTGCCGCCACCTAGACGGCTTTGAGCAGTGAGGATCATCGAGCGGAGGTTGGTGATTGTCTCCGGCTCCTATCATGGTGAGTGTGAGGGGTTCTTGACCTTTCCCCGGCGGAGAGCCAAAAGGTACTCTAGTAAATTGCTCGTGGCTTATGTGATCCTCACCTTGTGTTGGTTGTGCGGCACCCTATTGAGGGTTTGGCGTGTGATGCCAATTAGCGCGTGAACCTCCAAGTGAGTGAATCGCCACAACAGGGACTAGTTTGTCGGCAAGCAAGTGAACCTCGGAGGAAAAATCATTGTGCCTTGATTGTCTCCTTGGTATTCATTGATTGATCACTTGTCACGGCGGTATACCTCTCTACCACTCTCTTGAATTTCATTGTACATTCATTTGTATAGAGCTTGTGGTAGTCAAGACTATATAGTATAGCACTTAATTGTATCACTCTTGCTAGATTGATCACATAGGTGTAAATTAGAGACATAGCCTTGTTGTGATATACTAGAGATCATAGAAAATAGAATTTGGTAGGTGGCTTGCAACCCCAAGTATAGTGCTAGCGCAAAATTCGCTTCGCCCTCTTATTGACTAATCATTTGTCTTAGTGTTGTTGTAGAAATTTTTAATAGGCTATTCACCCCCCTCTAGCCATTAGGACCTTTCAAGTGGTATCAGAGCCATGGTCACCGTGATTTGAGGCTTAGCAACCTTCGGTGTCAAAATAGCTTAAATCAACAACACCAAGAAGCCACCCCAATTTGGTGGTTCAGACTATCCCTATTGTAAGGCTAAGATGACAACATATATCATGTCAATCAATAGAAAGGTTTGGAAAGTGGTGGAGACCAAGATTGAGATAGAAGATCTGGAGAATCCCACAACCGCCGAAGTACTTCTCCAAAACAACGATATTGCTCTTAGTGTCATTCATGATGCTATTGATGAGAGAACATTTGAGCAAATCAAGAGCATTGAGATGGCTTATGAGGCTTGGAAGAACTTGGAGGAGTCATTTGAGGGCCCTCAAGCGGTGAAGATAGCCAAGGCATATATCCTCAAGGAGAAGTTTGCTAGTTTTAAGATAAAGGAGGATGAGAGTATGCCGGAGATGTTTCATAGGCTTCAAGTGTTTGTCAATGATCTCAAAGCACTTGGAGAGAAGGTGGAGGACAAGGACTTCTCTCATAAGTTCTTGTGATGCCTACCCTCAAGATTTGGTACATTGGTCACTATTCTAGTGAGGAGTGGTTTGAAAACCTTGACACCAAACCAAGTGTTAGGAGATATAATGACCGATGATACATATACAGACGATGATGAGAAGGAAGAAAAGAAGGAGAACAAGGATGAGAAGAAGAAGAGTGTGGCATTCAAGGCCACATCATCCAAGGGCAAGGCAAAGCAAGAATCATCAAGTGAAGATGAAGACTTGAGCTTTGATGAGATGGATAATAAGAAGATGGCTCTCTTTGTCAAGAGATTTGGTAAGTTCATGATGAAGAAAGGTTACCGTGCTAGAAGAAAAAAAGTCTTCATCCAAGAACAAGGAAGAGTCAAGAAGGTGCTTTAATTGCGGAAGCAAAGATCATCTTGTTGCTCAATGCCCATACAATAGTGACAATGATGATGACAAGAAAAATAAGAAGAAGGACAAGAAGGAAAAGAAAGAGAAGAAGGACAAGATAACCTTCAAGAAAAAGGAGAAGGGGTGGTTCATATTTGGTCACTTGGGATAATGATGCTTCCTTAAGTGATGATGATGATAGTCCCTGGTCTGGTGGACGTGAGGAAGCCAAATGTTTAGTTTGGATGTCAATTCCTTGTGATGTGGATGCCTTTCAATTCTGGCTATGGGTAGCACCATTAGCTATTTTTGCTGATATAATAGTTCTTGCATTACATAGTCTAGGTGCAACTATTCACTGGCAAAGCAAGCTATACACGTCTATTGCCTCTACAGAAAGCCATGTGTTATGAATGTGTTCGACATAGGGGGGAACAAGGTTATCTAGTCTCCAGTATGCTCATTGCAGCATCCTATGTCAGCGATTACTGTTGTCCTTGGCAAAAAGAAATGATGAGTTGATGACAGTGTCAGTGTGTTGTTTCACATGTTATGCTACCAATAAAAGCTGTATTGTCTCTTACCTAATTTGCCCATCCAGTGGATAGTCAGTTTGTGGACTACTGAAACATTTATGATTGCAAGACTTGTGGCCTGTGTGTCAGTGTTATTCGATTTGCCATTTAATTTGCATGCTGGGTTTTTTCTTTTCACCCTTTCCATCTGCCACAAAGTATACCACAAAGTATCTTTTGTTTTTACCTTTGTGAAATGTTATCTGTTAGTCTTAACGTGTTAGTAGACCCCTATTTGATGGCTTACTAGTTGCTGTTTCTTATATATACTCAATTATTTTATTCCAAAGCAGCCAGTGTAATCCTTTTGGGTTTGTAACACATGGCAGCCTTACAAGTCTGTTTTTCCACAACTGGTGACGTCCATTTTATTGCCATAATCAATGAAATTACATGGTTTGGGTACTTTGAGTTTTGAACAGAGTCTTACTACAACAAGCAACACAAAGAGTTCTAATCGGCTAACCCAGACACGTAACCAAACCAATATTAACTACTAGCAACCTTCTATTCTTACAGCTACTAAACAACAGACAATAAGACATAGAATAGGCCCATGGTCCACTCCACCACCTAGATGCAAAAACAGCAACATTTTGCACTTCTTAGTGCCCACTAGTATCTTCTCGCTACCTCCATCATCGCAATGAGACTGCTACATCTTAAGTTAGTACCTCCATCCTGCTGCCTTCATCATGCTGCTCGAGTGTGGAAGCTTAGCACTGCTTCCTTCTGAATATCTGCTCCTTCCAGCACCTTTCTGGAGCCCCGCCCAATAAGAAGAAACAAACAAGCAAGCAAACACATGATCTCAGCAGAAGATCTAACCAGTCCAACCATGGGAAACTGCTTCCCATTTGGGAGAGATTTCTTGCATCAAACCTAAAAATGAAAAAAAGAATCTGGTCTGCAAGACGCTCCTACACCATAGTTAAACTACATACATACTTCGCCATTGAACAGCTCAAAGTTAAATGTTGAATATTTTCATTCTCTTCACAAGTCTGCTGGTGCAAATCTCTGCAGGTTCACCGAGGATGGTGAGAGTCAGAGTCTTGAACGATGCTCTCAAGAGCATGTATAATGCCGAGAAGCGTGGGAAGAGGCAAGTGATGATCAGGCCATCTTCAAAGGTGATCATAAAGTTCCTTTTGGTGACGCAGAAGCATGGTTAGTTCTCTTTTTTTACATTTGTTTGAAACTTGTTGAAAGCAAGGAAAGGGTTCATGACTGCTGTCCTTTTCTGCAGGGTATATCGTTGAGTTTGAGTATGTTGATGACCATCGTGCTGGAAAGATTGTTGTTGAGTTGAATGGCAGGCTGAACAAGTGCGGAGTAATCAGTCCTCGTTTTGATATTGGTGTCAAGGAACTTGAAGGGTGGACTGCTAGGCTCCTTCCATCTCGTCAGGTCCGTTCCTTCGCCATTCGTGCTTGTTTCTAACTATATTTAGATGTGACGCTGGGTATCTGTACACGCAGTTCAATTTTATATTATAACTAGATCATACCCGTGCGTTGCAACAGGAAAAAGAAAATATCATGATAGCTTAAGTTTGAACGTGTGTTTAAACTTGTACCAGACTTCCTTATGAATATTAGAATCATTTGTCGGAGCAGTTCTATACGGTCCAATCTTTAATCAAAATGAGAAAAAAAACTGACTCCAAATCACAATCAGAAGGAATCGGCTCCTAATCAAAACTAAACCTCACAGTATATTTGACGCCCGTTGGATCCGGGCCAATTTATTCTAAAAAAAAAAGAGGATCCGAGCCAATTGACGCTGATAGGCCACCTTGATACTAAGCGATTCCTGCCCAGCGAGCGTCTCACGGAACTGTCCCTTTTGTGGATCAACTCTTTACTAACCACAGTGCCTTTGCACACAAATACTCTGCTCCAGTTTTGGTATGATCTCAATACTTTACCCAAATACATGAAATGGTATTCTTGCAATTATTTAGGGAACTCAATTGGTTAAAGACACACAAACAGCCAATTCCATAATTTGCAAAATATATGGAAGCTGAGCTAGCAATAGCATCATATGGGTCTAGTGTTTCTTCTGCTAAGGTATTCATTGTATGTATTGATATGACAAGCTTACCTGTTTAGATTCCAAAAATTTCACCACAAAGTGTCACATCAAATCTTTATGGCTAATGCATGGAGTACTAAATGTGAGCGAAAAAAAAACTAATTACACAGTTGGTGAGAAATCGCGAGACGAAACTTTCAAACCTAATTAGTCCATAATTAGACACTAATTACCAAATACAAACGAAAATACTACAGTAGCCAAATAGTACTCAAACCCAAAAAATTTTGGGAACTAAACGCGCCCAACAACCAAAGGATATTTCCAATCATTGTGATTTTTCAGCAATTCAAGAGGAAGCCACATGTATGCTGGTGTAGTGTTGTTCTGAGATCTGCCCATAGTCTGCAGAACTGAAATAAGTCGAGATCTGTCCTAGCAACTATTGCAGTCAATATGCTCGTGTACAAACACCCCCCCAAACACCCAATGTATGCTGGTGCACATCCATACACACCTTTGGTACATCCACTGGCACTGTAATCATCCAGTCCAGGAGGAAATAACAAAACGCCTGAATTGGGCATCAAATGAAGATAAGACATTCATGTGGAGTAGTAGTATGACAACCCATTTCATACACACGTAGAAGGCGAGGTTACCATCATTTGCATGTGACAATACGAAAGCTGTTGTGAAGGAGATCAGGGACTATTTTTGTAGTTAGCACACAACAAGCGAGTGCTTGGTTGAATAGTGCCTGTAACAAAGAATTGACATGCCAGCATGAAGGTGATAGTAAAGAAGGAACTGATAAAAAAAATCTATAGAAAAATACAAAAGGAACAAGATCTAAGAGTTGGTCAACATTTGTTAGTTGACATAACATCTAACTTTTATTCAGTATGAATTCACATTGACAACGAAGACCTAGGGAATCTGAGAGCGAATTCTCTAGATTTATCATAAGATTTTAAATTTAACTCATAGAAGTGCAGAACAACTAATCGAGTGCACTGGTACCTTAGGATACAAAGAGATTTGGGCACACATATATTGAAGCTAAGCTAATTGATAAGCACTTCATTGGAACGGGCAGGATCCAGATGTGGGTGGCGGAGGCGGTTGCTGGGCATTGTGGCTGCCGCCGGCCAGGTGGAGGGGGCCGCGCGCGCTGTTGCCGTGGGGAGGTGGCCAAGCACCGCTGGACGGAGAGGGAGCCAAGCACCGCTGGACGGAGAGGGAGTCAAGCGCCGCTGGACGGAGAGGGAGGCGAGCGCCGCCGGAGAGGTAGGAGGCGAGCATGCGCTTGTTCGCAGATCGGAGAGAAATTGGTTCACAGATACGAGATAATTGGGGATGGGGAAATGGGGGTAGCGTGGGCACCGAGCGCCGGGGCGGCAGCATGGGATGGGATGACGGCGGCGGCGGCGATAACCCTAGAGCAGGGGAACCGGCAGCGGCCGCGCAAGTGGGTCTCGGGGAGACGATGCAGGAGCACTGGTGGTGGTGGACGCGGAGAGAGATGGCGAGAGAGTGCGTGGGTCATGGCCCCACCTGTCACGCCGAATTCTTAGAGGGCGCAATACGAAGCGCCGGGTGAAAGTTGGATCGAGAGTTTCGTCCTGCCGACCTGGACATTTACCGCTTTTTAGTTGGAGAGAAGAGAAGAGATAGAGATAATCTAATTATCTTTCATTGTTTGTTGTGCAGTTCGGTTTTATTGTTTTGACGATCTCTGCTGGCATCATGGATCATGAAGAGGCCAGGAGGAAGAACGTTGGTGGCAAGGTGCTAGGTTTTTTTTACTAGATGGAAGTTTGATAAAAAAAGGATTTTGAATCAGTGTAGTAGGATACTTGTTCTTGACTTATATTCCTGAAGTTACGAACGAGCGAGACTGCACAAATGCAATTTACTTTGTATCATTCTTGTGCCAGTTCACTTACCGAAATCCAAATTTTGGAAGAAGGACATGAGACTTTTTGCTTTTCTTTATTGCGCCCTCCGTTTGTTTAGCAAAAGCTTTCAACCTTTTGTACCACGAAAGCTTGAGATTTTGGTGAGAGTAAAACTCATTGGTGCAGTACAATGTCGATATTTTGGATAATTCATGATTGCAAGATGAGCATGTTTGCTTCATTCCTAAGATTGTCAGGGGTTGTCACGCTTGGCACCTAACTTTTGCCACACTTTTTCTTGCCTACGCCTTGTGTTAGTCCGTTTGGACATATGCATAGAGTATTAAATATAAACTAAAAAATAGCTAATTACATATATTGCGACTAATTTACGAAACGAATTTTTTAAGCCTAACCAGTCCATGATTTGACAACTTAATGCTATAGTAAATCTACAGTAAGTGGTGCGTCGTCGACGGATGATCCGAGGCAAAATGGGGGTGCTAGTAGCACTCCTAAGTTCTAAGCGTGCCTAAAAACCCAGCACTGTAACCACTAGTACGTTGCAGCGTTGCTGCACCGATTTTTTTTTAATTTTAACACTTTTTCGAAACTAATTTTAAATCTAACACTCTCGTTTTTTTTTAACTAACACTTTTGGCCGCGCCTATTGCCCTGGCGCGGCCAAATGCCTGTGTCGCGCCATGCATGGCGGTGCAGCAAGGAGCTGACGTGGTGGCGACCAGAAGCGCTGACCGCTGACGGGGCAGGGCTCTGCCGCGCCACCGATCTTGGCGCGGCAATACCGTGCCCTGATCCATGGCGCGGCAGAGCCGGGTATAACCTCCGCCGCGGCCCGCGTGCCGAGCCGTCGCCGTTCTCCGAGCAGCGCAGCAAGGCAGCCTGCTCGCCTTCGCCCGCACCTCCCCGCCGCGGCCGCGTGCGCCCACACCTGCCAGCCCGACCAAGCCAGCAAGCTAGCCGCGTCCGTCCGGCCGCGCCAGCCAGGCAGCCAGGCTGCCGGCCGCTGGGTGCGGCCACCGCGCCCGCACGTCGGCGCGCCTCCCCCTCCGGTCACGCACGGCGGCTGCCCTGCGCCCGCGCCTCCCGGCCCAGTCTTGCGCGCTGCAACGAGGTACTCCACTAATATAGTTAACACAGTTAATAAAGTTAGTAAAATTATTAAAGTATAGTTAGTATAGTTAGTAAAGTTAGTTAGTTTAGTTAGTATACGTAATATAATAAGTTAGTATAGGTAGTAAAGTTAGGTAGTTTAGTTAGTACAGTTATAGTATGCCTTGTATAGATATTAATATTTGATTAGTTAGTATAGTTATAGTTAGAAAATATATTAATGTTAGTATGGACATTACGTACGATGATTTCGATGACTTAATGAAGTTTCTTGGAATGTTTTTGCAGATGGATTGTTGTGTTAGAGTGTTATACGGAGGAAGTGTTAGGAGAGATGATGGTATGTTTGAGGATATGGAAGAAGAATTAGAATGGTTTGAGGAACCTCCTAGTTTCAACGACCTTTGTGTCCGTTTGAATATAAAGTTTGGCGGTGATTTTACACTAAAGGATAGGTTTAATACTAGGAAGACTAGGCACACTATGTCCTCATGCCCTTGCGCGACCCTGTTCACTAGTCCCGCTACACTAGGGTTCTCTAAGGTTCTAATGTGTCCATGACTGGGGTGGTGGTGGAGAATGGGTACAGGATGCATGGTGTTCAGGACGAGCCGTCCATTGATGGATTTGGAGGCAATGAAAAAGAATTAGGGGTCGAAGGGGAAGCAATTCAGGATAACATGGATTTGGACGGTCAGTTGACGCAGGAGCAGTTTCATTCAACTGCAGTAGGCTGTATAAGCAATGACTTCGATGTGAATGAGTTCGAAAGGGAAGAGGACAAGGAGGACAGGATCGGTGATGTAGTTAGCAGTGATTCAGACGATTCTGATGATGACCAAGGAGGTACAGATGCTATGGCAACAACGGCTGATACCATGGCAGTACCGGTACATACTATGCCATTACCAGTACCAACTGAGGTTTTACAAGGTATCCATGCTTAGGGTAGACTAGTCACAGATTTGACTGCAGATGATATCCCCTATGATTCATGGGCCAGAATTAGCGAAGCGCAGCAGTATGTTCCACCACCACCTTACACAGCGACTGAGCTTGAGCAACTAAGGTCCAAGAACGTACCTTTCAGGGGCGTTCTGAACTATAGGGATGTCAGCATGACGAATATGGCAGCTTGTGATACCGGTCTCCAGATGTGTAGGAATTCATTGTATAACCATGAGACAGAAACCCTCAGGAAGGGGATGATATTCAGCACAATGTCAGAGATGAAACTCTTCCTTCAGGACTATGTTGTGTACCACCATAGACCGTACACCGTCACTCATTCGGACCAGAAGTTGAGGTACCACTTGATATGCAAAAATGGTTGTCTGTGGAGGTTAAATGCACGAAGGAGACAGAGTG